GTAGCCTGTCGGGCTGAGATCTAGCAACAGCAGGCTCTTGGCGATGGCTGCAGAGGAGCGCGGGGGAGAGAACACAGGGCAGCACCTCCCTGGAGGCTTGGCGCACCGGCATGCCATGCCCAGAGCCGGCGGGACCCTGCGAGGGAGCGTGGAGGGTCCCGGTGCCCGAGCAGGGGAGAGCAGGCGGTGCGAGGACTGCGCAGCAGGCGCACCCACGAGTGGGTCGCTGGCTCGGAGCAGCAGGCAGAGGCTCAGACTCTGCTGACAAGAGATGACATCGCACCTCATTTGCTGTGCAACGTTTGTGTAATTAGACACATTTGGTGCCAGCAAGGAAGAGTGGGCTACAACACGGGCTTGATGGATCGCCGTGCCCCACCAGGCTCTGACCACATTAATCACAGAAGCCAGAGCCACGGGGCCATTTTTCTCCAGGCTTTGTCCTGGTTCCCAGCTGGGGTACTGGGAGAAGGGGAGGGGAGAGGGTGGGCTTTCCGGAGCCCAATGCCAGCCCTGAAGCACTCATTGTGTCCCCCTTTGGCCTGAGCAGGGACCAACTGTCCCAGGGATAATGTGAAGCTGCTGGAAGTCCACCCCGCAGGACAAGGTGGGGGTGGGGGCTCTGGGACGCTGCGCCGCTGCCCATCATGGGCATGACCAGCCTAGCACCTCCTTGGCTGGGAAGGGCACGTGCACTGAGACCTGGTCTTCTCAGCCCTCCACCTCACGAAGTTAACGCATGGAAGTCACTGTGCCTTTCTGGGCCTCAGTGTCTTCATCTGCCAGCTGAAGCTTAAGCGCATTTCACAGGACAAGGGGGAAGATTAACTAATAGAGCACCAGGCTCCAGGCTGCGCCCAGCATGCCACAGACCCGTGCAGATTGGTGACGTGCTTTACTTGCTCTACTGGGAGATGCCACCTTCCCACTGGGGCTTGGTGATCCCAAATGACCCCAATAATGGCCCCCAAGAATGTCCACATCTTAATCCCTGTAACTCACAAATGTTATCTGCTATGGAAAAAAGGACTTTGTCGATGTGATTACGTCAAAAATAATCTTGAGATGGACAGAGCAGCCTGGTCATCCAGGTGGCCCAAGAGCAGTCACAGGTGACACAGGTGTCCTTATGAGAGACAGGCAGAAGGAGAAAACTGCCACAGATGAGGAAGGAGGCGGCATGAGGACAGAAGCAAGAGAAAAAAGGTGTGGTGTGAAGCCGGGCTGTAGGCCAAGGGATGTGGGCGGCTTCCAGAACTTAGGAAAGTCAAATGGAAAGATTCTCTCCTGGAGCCTCCAGAAGTAACCAGCCGGGACAACACCTTGATTTCAGCCCCATAAGATTACTTCAGATTTCCAGCCTCCAGAACTACCCGAGAATAAATCTGTACTATTTTAAGCCACTAAGTTCGTAGCAAATTGTTACAGCAGCAAAAGGAAACGGACACACTGCCCTTCAGGTACTCAGTCTAGTGAAAGAGCCGTGCAGGCCCGCAAGGGACAAGGCTGTCTCCACGGCCACCAGCATCCACGGCCTACTTCTCCACCTGCTCTGCTCACACCCCAGCCCTCGCCGGCCAGCAAGGAAGCAGGCCCACCCCAGAGCCAGGGAATGGTAAAGCCTGGAGAAGACTCAGGCCACATCCCCAGGGCTCCCCATCTGGCCAGGGAGGGACGGTCCCCAGGGCACTCGGTGGTGGGACTCGGCCTGCAGCAGCATCCCCTGGAAGCCGTGTCGATCACAGATGGTGGCGCCACCCCCAGAGTCTCTGACTCCGCAGGTCTGGAGTGGGGGCTGGGGCCTGAGGACCTGCACTGTTCCTGGCAGGTTCCCTGGGGACACTGATGCTGCTGGGCCAGAGGTTTTGGGGACCTCTGAACTAGGGGCAGCGCCCTAACACAGGGCTGCATGTGCTGCCAGTAAGGGATCTGCTGGACCCGGCAGAGGACCCACGGTCCTCACTTATGCTCCTGAGTAAAAGGCCGGCGTGCAGCTGAGGGCCTGGCCCGGGAGGCCCTAATTTGATTTCTGACTGTCCCACTCGCTAACTGGGTGACTATGAGGGTTAGTTACCCAACCTCTCAGTGCTGCCTCAGTTCTTTCACCTGCAAGACGGGGAAGACACAAACGACTACGTTCTAGGGTTGTCGAGGAGCTTAAATGACATGAAACATGGGACGTGTTCACAGCAGGGCCAGCTCGCAAGGTCAGTTATGGTGAGGAATGGCAGGCATCAATGTCAGGGTCCTCTTTCACTTCTGGTGGTGCCACTAGGTGTGTAGGGAGGTCTCAGCTGGGACATCCACCGGCAGAATGACACACCTGCGGGGGTTCTCTCTGCGTGGAGCTCTCGGCATTCCCTGTGTCTCCCGACCAGCACCGGAAGCCTGTGCAAGGAGCCCTTTGGGGCAGGCCTGCTGTGCCCAGGACCCATGTCACCAAACCAGCCACACTCACCTCCCCTGCAGGCCTCAGCAACACCAACCCCCTTTGAAACAGGGACCGAGCTCCCTCCATGCTCCTGGTGTTCTCACGTGACACCAGCTGAGCAACTCGGGGTGGCCCAGCTAGTTCCAAAATGTGCACCTGTCAGAGGCTGCCCGGGCTGTTGTCTCAGCCACCTGCAGGCGGAGGACCCTGAGGCGAGCAGAGGGCGGAAACGGCCCATTGCCCACTAGGCGGGCCTAAGGCTGCTGCGGCAGACCCCTGTCATGTGAGAACCGGGTACAGATGCTGGAACAAAAGGAAAAGTTCCCAGAATGTCAAAAGGACATAGAAGACAACTCGAAGGGACTCCCAGTGGCCATATTTGGACAGTTTGAATAAACAATAAGTGGTAATAACAATAGAGAGTAACCCATAGGATAACACAAATAACCGTGCGTCCCAACGGATATCAATAAATAATCAAATAATCAGGAGATGCGGGGGAAGGGTTGGCTCTTCCTCATGGCACAATTCCAACCAGCAAATGCGGAAGGGATGATGGAAATAGAAAGTCGCCATTTGGCAAACACTAGCACTTACTGTTTCTGGCAAGAGCCATCAACGGATGTTTAAGTTAGCGGTGAAAATGTAACGAGAAACAGGACGGTACCATATTGTCAAAGAATTACCCCACAAGACACTAATTAGCTACAAAAGGAACCACTTTAAAGTGGACAGACAGACACCCCGACAGACACCCCACAACCAGGCGACCAGAGCTCCCAGTGCAGAGAAGTGTGGACGTCACGTGCCTCCTGATGGGACGGAAAGGACATGACATTGCTTTCATGGTATTACTCTCAAACTGCATCATCTGAGTGTCATTACAAAGCAACTTTAGGCAAATCCAAAGCATTTTATACAGTAGCTGGCCAGCACTCTTTAAAATTGTCATGAAAGTCAGAGAGAGATTAAGGAACCATCCGGGATCAAAGATGACCAAGGAGGCACGACGAGCAGATGCAACGTGGGATCCAGAACTGCACCTGAACCAGGGAAAACGACGTTAACGGGCAACTGACCAACTTTAGGTAAGATTTGTAGGTTAGTTAATAGCATTATATTGATCTTGGGTCACGTAAGACGTTAACATTTGAGGAGCTGAGTCAAGGGTATACAGGAGATCATTTATGACTTTTGCAACTGCTTTTATACATCTGAAATCACTTTGAGGTAAAACATTAAAAAGTAAAAAATATTTTTAAAAAAGAAAGTAAAACTCTCAGGTTTGCTCTGTCCTGGGGAGGGCACGAGTGTCCTGAAACAGGACACCTCTCAGGCACAATGCTTTCAACACACTGAGCGCTCAGCAAGTGTTCACTGGCTTCACTGGGCGGGGAGACCGGAGAGGTAGCAGGATCTGTCTGTAATAAGAGGAACTCGGGGAGAGGGTCCCCGACTCCACAAGCACTAACTGTGCACCTATCACGTGTCAGCTGTTGAGGATACAGAAATGAGAGGGGAGCTCGGAGCCTGCGGGGGCAGGTGTGGAAACAGGTTATTCTGTGTGAATCTGGAGCAGGAGCCCCACGCAGTGTGGGGGACCACAGTGCCACAGGAGGAGGTGGCTCCTTGGCTGAGGCTTAGAGGTGGCCGGGTGAGTGGGACATCCTGGACACGTTGGGCAGGCAGCAGGGGTGAGGCACAGAGACAGGGGACAGGGCAGCGTGTGCTGCAACCATAGGCAGCAGCTTGGTATGGACAGGCCGGGGTGGCGCTGGAGGGGTGAAGGCACCGGGTCTAGAGGGGCCTTGGGGCCAGCAGATCCTTCACAGAAAGAAGGTCCGCTGGAGGCAGGTGTGGGGAGCAGTGGAGAAGCTGGGGGTGGGGAGAAGGTAGAGGCCTCTCTCCTAGAAGGAGAATGGACGGGGCTGAAGTCACAAAGGCCAAGAAAACTGACCCCTGCCACGGGCTAGGCGGCCTCATGTGGGAATGACGTGGACAGGGTTAGGCAGATGGAGACGCACTGGCAAACACACCCCTCCCACCTGGGGACCTCAAAGCAGGGAATAGGAAGGGACTCCAAAGCATCAGCACGAGCTTGTCCTTGTAGTTGGGTGACTGCACAACTTACTGTTCAAACTGGGGCATCTGGAGACAGTGAAGGGGATGCTCTGAATCAGGGTGGGACGACACGTGCCTGAGGTCACCTCACTCATATCGGATCTTAGGCCCGCAGGGGACTCCCATTGCAGGGATGGCCAAAGAGCCTCAAACCAGGTGTGGTACGCCGCGGAAGCCTAGAGCCTTAGAAGTGGTGATGTGGGTAAGGGGGGTGGCTGGTGCTCATGTGCTGCCCACCCACACGCTCATATGGGGTCCCGCTTCTGCGCACTTGCGGGTGGCAAAGCTGAACGCCCACTCGGGACAGTGCAGATCAGGAACCCCGCAGAGAAAGACAGAGGCAGTGGAGGTGGCCGAGGCTGCCGGCCCGGCCTCCTGCTGGCGGGTGGCCGTGTGCTAGGAGCAGAGGGCAGAGGGCAGAGGGCAGAGGGCAGAGGGCAGGACTTACCCGTGCACGCCGTGGACAGAGTGAGGCTCGTAATGGTACCTTCCCTCCTGGTGTCGCATGTCAATCGGTAAGGGCGCGTGGAATGGTGGCAAGAAGTGCTGCGGCACTGCGGAGGGGAAGAGAGAAAAAGGACTTCACCAACTTTTCCCCTCCCTCGAAAAGCAGTTTTCAAAGGGCTTTAAAGCTCGATGGATTTCAGAGCAACAGCAGCCAGGACAGGGGCTCTGTGGTGCCCGTGCTATCACACACCCACACAGGGGGATGAATAAATAATCAAAGTCCACCCGAGAATCCTACATCTTCCACATAAAAGATCCCCAACCGCGCTCTTGACAAAGACAAGCAGCTACGCGCTCTTTGAACTCAGGGGGATTACAGGCAGGGCCACGAAGCTGGGCTCAGCCGCAAATCGGGGCTGACAGAGCGACAGGCTCCGACTCTGCCAGCATCTGCCCAGCCTGGCCTTGGCTGTGCGTGGCTCCAGCAGCACCAGGCCGCGGCATCCCACGCTGCAGCGCACAGGCTGGCACTGTCTGCGAAGGCAGGGCCCGCTCTGCTGGGGCGGCCGGGCTCGGAGGCCAGAGCCCGCTGAGCTGCCTGCCCCGTCTTGCTGGCAAGATCAAGTGGACTTCCATGCAGATCTGCTGATGCCCCAGCTCTTAATACTAATTACTGACCCCATGAGTGCCGGCGGGTGCCCCAGGATGGAAAACGCCAACACGTGAGCGTCAGTTTCCAGAGCTGAGTCAGCCTCCTGTCTGAACTTGGCCTGCCCTCAACAAATCATCGTGATAATTGTAGGATGCTCTTTGTTTATTAAAAAAATTCCTGGGTACCCTGGAGGCAAACATAATTATAGGCTTTAGGAAAACAAGGCTCTCCAAAAAGTAGCTGCACTGGGAAAAGGGAGAAGAGTGGAGATTCCTCAGCCAGCTCTCCCTCAGTCTGCAGGCCGCAGGCCAGCGGGGAGCCCTGCAAGTCTGGGGGTCCAAGTGGGTTTGTTTTACGTACGGACAGGTCAGCTGACTTCCAGGGCCGCCATAATAAATGCATAAAAATAATGCTGCCTCTCTGTGCAAATAGATTCTGGCACAGTGCTGTAAATACTATGAATTCTCTCTTTATTGTGGCACCTACACATAAAATATCCTTTTACGTGCACAGCTGAGCGGCATCAAGCACATTCACATTGTTGTACAACCGTCACCACCAGCCGTCTCCAGAACTGAAACTCTGCAGCCGTAAACACTAACTCCCCATTCCCACCCACGCCGGCACCCACCTTTCTACCTTGTGTCTCCATCAGTTCCTAGTCTAGGTATTTCATACAAGTAGGAGCATGTAACGTTTGTCCTTTTTGTCACTGGCTTATTTCACTTGGCATAATACCCACAAGGTTCATCCATCTAGCATGTGCCAGAGTGTCCTTCCTTTTTAAGGCAGAATAATATTCATTCTACTGTATGTATATACCACTTTTTGTCCACCCATCTGTCGGTGGGCACCTGGGTTGAACACAATGAATTTTTAATGGAAGGGAACTTTTTTCCTGAAATCTTATCTTTAATTTTTACCTGTTCAACTTCACCTTCATAATTCCACAACACTAGCACTTTCCATGGGGACTGAGAAAAAAGAAAGCAAATCTTCTCGCCCTGATTCAATCAATTCGCCCAACTCTGAATCAAAGAGGAACTGGCGGTAGACACGCCAGCAGACATGTGGTTCGCCTGGCCCGGCTCTCACTCCCAGACCCCTGACTGCTGGACGGACCTTTCTCCGAGGCCTGTCCCCGAGCAGGGGAGCTGGGTATGTGGCTGTGACTTGGCAGCGGTGACAGGATGACCAGGTTCTCTGGAGGCTGGTGGCCTCTGGGGGTCAGAGACCACTCACCAGCTGCATGACTTCGATCAAGTTTCTTGACCTGAGTCTCCGTTTGTTCACATCTGCAAGTGGATAGCAAGCTACCGACCTGGTCACCGTGAAGATGTAAGTTCATGCAGAGACGCCCAGCCCAGAGCCTGTGCAGGTAAGAAGCGCTCCACCAGCCGTACCACCGGTGATGGCGATGATCACTAATATTTGGAGCCCCCCAAGTCCATGATCAAACTATGAATTTGCCAGTCGTCGGGCTTGGGACAAGTTGCTCACACTTGTTGCAAACCCTGGGGAGGTGGAGGCCGAGCACGGCCTGCTTACCGACCCGGGCACCAGCGTGCTTTCCTACATCCCCAGGGAGGCAGCAGGGAAGCAGAGTTCACTTTCCCAAATGCGTAGCAAGGGGACATTTTAAAAAAATGGCCAGACAGACCAGACTACAGTATTGCTAACAAAATTAAAATGGTTTGTTTTTGTGTATATCGGAATGTTTCCCTGCACATCCAGAAGGCTCCTGAAGCAACTTGGCTAGGTGTTACTGTACCCATTTCACAGACGAGAAAATAAAGGCCAAGGGTGAGTCTAGGCCTTGCCCGAAGTCACAGGACTAAAATACAACTGAGGCAAGAGGAGAATTCAAGGCTCCGGACAGATAATTGTGGGCTTATCCCCACATCTAGCCCAGCTGAACACTCAGAGGCAGCTCCAGGGAGCCAGGGTGACCCTGTCCCTACCACGCTTATGTACTATAGGTTACAAATGTACGCGGTGTTCTGAGCACTTTTTAAATACCAACTCCTGGGTCTTCGCGGCAACCCCAGGAAGCTGCGTTTGTTTGTGTGAAATGGGTAACTAGCTACCTACACGGTTGCAGGCAGTGCTCGGCCTCCACCTCCCCAGGGTTTGCAACGAGCGTGAGCAACTTGTCCCAAGCCCGACAGCTGGTAAATTCATAGCTTGATTATGGACTTGGGGGGCTCCAAATATTAGTGATCATTGTCACCACCAGTGGTAAGGCTGGCCGGGCGCTTCTTACCTGCACAGGCTCTGGGCTGAGCACCCCAGGGAGCAGCCCAGGACTCCTGCTCTTCCCATGAGCCATCCCCAGCGCCCTGGTCTTTCTCCTCTGTCAGAGCCCAGACCACCCCACCCCTACCCTCAGCCGCGGGCTGAGACACTCTCTTGGGACTCAGGATTCACGCAACCCCAGCCAGGTTTACAGACGCCGTGAGCTTCAGGAGCTGACCAGGCAAACACGAAACGGAGGTCGCACTGGGGCTGCCCCTGCTGCCCCACAAGACCAAGCCGTGTGTGTGTGTGCGTGTGCATGTCTATGTGTGTGTGTGTGTGTAGTGTGTGGTGTATATGTATATATGTGTATGTGTGGTAAGTGTGTATGTATGTGTGTGGTGTGTATAGTGTGTGGTGCATGCATATGTGTGTATTATGTTTATGTGGTTTATGATATATGTGTGTGTGTGTGTGTTGTGTGTGGAGTATATGTAGTGTGTGTAGTGTGTTTGTATATGTGGTGTGTGCATGTTGTGTATGTACACATGTGTGTTATTACATGTGTGTAGGATGTGGTGTCTGTGTACAGTATGCTTGTATGTGTGGAGTGTGTGCACCAGGTGCACATGGGGGCGTGGGCCCCGAGGCTCAGGGAAGAGGCATGGGGACAGGCGCCCGCCGAGTCCTGCAGCTGGGCCTGCTCCCCGCTTTCTGGCAGGTCCCGGGGTGAAGGCTGGAGGCTGTGTGGGCAGTGCTTTCTCTTTCGCAGGCAGGGCTGCAGGTCAGGACCGCTCAGGGTCCTGCTGCCCTCTCAGCGGCTGCCCCTCGGCCCTGACACTCGTGGAATGTGCAGGCTGCACCCCTGCACCTCTCCCTCAGCCTCCCCCGCCCAGAGTCCTCAAAAGGAGCCTGAGGACGCGTGCTAGTGGGTCCTCCTGTCCTGTCCAGAGCAGCAGAATGCCCACCAGAGTCAGCGTTCTTGTCCCCTTTCAGAAGGGAACATCGCAGCGCGGCCGGCGTGACTCCCTCTGGGAGAGCAGTGCTCAGGCAGCATGTGACTGGTGGTTTCACTGGCTCTCCCCTCTGACCCCCGCGTGGCCCCTCAGAGCACAGCCCAGTGTCCAGCACGCAGCAGGCCCTGAGCGAACGGGCTGAGAGCACTGATGTTCCAATACTCGCACAGCCTGGCCCAGGGGGTCGGCTGGTGGGGAAGGAACAAGGAGTCAAACCCTGGGACCTCATGCCCAGACCCCTCTGCCAGCCTCAGGGAGGAGACGCAGCCCATTCGCATCTGCAGTCACCACAGGGGGGAAGTGCAGACAGCAGTCTACTGGAGATACTCATTCATCTATCCACACATTCATTTATCCACACATCACCTACCTGAATCGAGCGCTTGCTATGCGGCAGGCACTGATCTAGGCCCCGGGAACAGCGTTGGGACAAAGCAGCCAGCACCATGGTCCAGTGAGAAGAGTCAGGTGGTGGACAAGACAGCAAATACATTTACAGCATAATGTCAGAGGGGAACGGAGCTAAGGAGGAAACCAAGCAGGGCAAAGGGACAGAGAAGAGGCGTGGGTGGAAGAGAGAGCTCCAGGCAGAGGGCACAGCGCGTGCAAAGGCCCAGTGGTGGGGGAGAACAAGGCGATGTCAGCATGAGGGTTAATTTGGCCAGAGCAGAGGGATGAGTGGAGGTGGAGACAGGGAGAGGAGGTCCTATCAGACTGAGCAGGCTGCAGGAAGGACTTTGGGATTTGTTTCTGAGCAATTTGGGAAGCCCCTGCGAGGTTCTGAGCAGGGAGTCGCGTGCTCTGATGAAACTTTTCAAAATGCCACACAAGCAGGACCTGGTGGTGTGGGACAGTGGCACATCCTCCAGGAATCCCAGACTGGCCCTGCCACTAGGTGGCCACCAGACTTGGGAGAAATTATGTCCCCTCCCTGGGTCTTACATTACTCCCCTGCACAGCAGGGATTGGGGGAGCTCAGAGGTCCCTTCCTCGCAGCACAGTCCTGCTGTCTGTGAATGGTCACCTGCTTCCCAGGAAACGGGCCATGCTTGTTCCAGCCAGAGACACCCGGAGGCTTCAGCAGCTCTGGGCACAGCTCATCTTTATGGTCTGATATGTGTAACTCACTGGCCCAGTGACCCTTCTAAACCCACTCAGCTCACCGGCCGAGTCCCCTGAGCCCAGCTAATACACACAGACACAG